TTGTGGGAATGATGGTGTGTAGAGATTTCTAAAAACTCTACAACCAAACTTTGAGAGTATAAATCACATAGCAAGCCATATCTAATATGAAATCAAAGTAAGAGCGGAAGCATTAAATAAACTAAGGATTCATGCAAGTCTCATTTGGTCTCAATCTTTATAAGTCTATGAAAATGTGCACCAAAGACTCTCTAAATCTTATTTGAGAAAAAGATAAGATGTTCATACCCTTGGAGCGAATCTTGAACCAAGAATGGTGTTCAAGTAGAGAGAAAGATAAGATGGTCATACCCTTGGAGCGAATCTTGAACCAAGAATGGTGTTCAAGTAGAGAGAATGGTCCCTTTGTTGTTGGCTCTACCTTTGATGTTGATTCTCCACCTTGTAGCTCTCCAAATAGATACAAAGATATGCACCTTCCCAAAGCTCTTCACCAAGGATTGAATGGGATGAAAGAATGACTAGACACCCTCACTTGATGTGATAAATTGAAGGGGTTAGGGAGAGAGAGCTTGGTGTTTTCTCTTTTCCAATTTCACCAACTTGAAAACCTTAGGATGATAGGATTCCATAGCTACACACTTATAATGTCACAAGAGCGATAAAAATGCCCCCAAACCCTAGTGTAGCCACACCCCCCTCCTTTTGTGTGTCATCTTTTGCTATCTTGGTCCAACACATTAATCCTATAATGTGTCACATATGTGCCTAAGTCCATATGGTCAAATCCATTTTGAATTTCCAAGTCATATGTGAACTTTAATTAAAGTTTGATAATTTTAATTGAATAATTAAATTAATCTAATCAATTTAATTACTCTAGTGACTTGACTAATTCAATCACTTACTTGTCTAACAAGTGTTGGTCCTGGTCATCCTTAGTTGACCGTGTCAAGTGTCAGATCAACCATTTGACATTTGACCTTTGACTTTTGACGACTTTCACATTGACTTTGACCAGTCACAAAATCATTCGTTCTCTTCATAATTTCCCAATTGATTCCTTTTCGGTGTGCGATCTTATAAGTTCTAATTAGTGAGGTAGTTGGTATGAATGATTCATTCTGAATCAAGTGTGAATTGTATCCCTCCATAAGATTCTCCCTATTGGGCCTTACATGGCTTCCACAAGTCATGAGTGACACCTACCAGTATGTCATGGCTACCCAAGCTAAAAAGAATTCATTTAGAAAAACCCAGTCAATTTGTAATTATAATGCAATTCGATCCTTCTCTAATTCAATACTCTATGTCATATTCTCGGGATATGGTAAACTTGTGTCAAAATCCCTAATATGACATCTCTAGAATATATGATTTAATCTGATGAAATTGCAAACGTTCTTGTTTCAATTTTCATCCAATACTTTGGCCAAAGATTCACGAATCATATCTTTAAAGTATTATCTCTTCTTACTAAGAGCATAGATTCTTTATTGTACATTCACATGTCTCTGCGTATACGTTGAGAATCATGAGGAACACCTTTAAGTTACCTCATTTTGATACAACCGTATAGTGCTCTCAAAGAGAAACAACATATACATAAGACAACTTTGATGTCTCAGGTCTAAAGATTAATTTGTATTATCACAACTTAGAATTCTTTATTTGACACTTGTGAGTAAGACTTTCATACAAGAATTCTAGAGTTGATCCCGTTCAATGAACTTCATCTTCTATAGAGCACCTACACATCTGTCTCAGTGTCTCTACATGAATGACGTGAGACTAGTCATCCTCCCAATTAAGTAGACATAATGTGTACCAATCTTTGTGGGTCACCATTGTCCAATTGGTGATCCTATGACCAGGAATATTTTAAGATATGATATTTATATGTATGGAAAGATTTCGTGCATCTAACTTATTTAGACCACTTTCGATTTATGTCTTAATCCATGGACTTGTTACTTTGTGTACGTTATGTATCTAAAGCAACGTTCTTTCCCCTTTGATTATTATATATATTATTTTCTTAGAATTATCTATTTTATATTGGCTTCTAGGGCATATATCTAACAATCATTTGAAATTCGTTTGTTTTCTTCTTCTTTCTTCTTCAAATCTTGGCATACAAGGGTTGTAATAGCCTAAACAAAGAATTTTACCTTATAGTGTCATCTAAATCTATAAATATGGAATCCCTCCATCCAAATGACCAAATGAAGCCTAATTTTCTTCATTTTTTAATTTTTTTTTTCATTTTCTAGGTTATATTTCTTAGTTTCATCCTTGCAAAAACTACTCTTTCTCAGCTGGTTCGAGAGTCGGTGGCTCTACCCACCATCCCACCCCTTATGGGTATTTTCCTATGCTTTCTACTCAATCGACTCCCTTTCGTTTCTTTTTGTCTTTTGTTGTTGCTTCCACTAGTGGCTTCTTCTTTTAGCCACTATCAAATCCCTATATGGGTAGTCCTCAATTTCCCTAAAATCCCTTACCCTAACTTTTAAATTTTCCCCCTTTCCTTCCCCATGTTATCCTCCTCCATTTTCACATCTTTCCCTTCCATATCTCCCTCCTATCCATCTATCACTCTCCTCATCTCATTATTCGATCTGGACGCACCCTATATGCTACAACAACTTATCCTTACAAACGTGTGTTAGGATTTTGGCTAAGCTATATTGTTAGCTTTCCTTGACAAACATGTAAAATTTGATTGTAATTTCTTATGCACCTAATCAAGCTTAATAAGCTAGACTAATCTAGGTTAGTGCTAATATAAACTATTGTGACTGAGCTCAACTTCAAGATGGCTTGATGCAATCAAATCTTATTAAAGGTGATTCATTTATGCATTGCAAGCATTGTTGTGTTTGTTAGATTTTCTATATAACTGTCCATGATTTTTCACACAACTTGAAATACATAGAAGACATACCTTATTACATCCTGGGATCGGCTCTGCCGTGGCACGATATTGTTCTCTTTGAGCCCCCCTCTCTGCCCTCACGGTTTTATTTCTGGGAGCTCACGAGCAATTTCCCAGTGGGTCACCCATCCTGGGATTACTCTAGCCCCAACTCGCTTAACTTCGAAGTTCCCATAACTCCGAAGCCAACGAGCTCTCAAAAGGCCTCGTGCTAAATAGAGGCGAGCATGTACATATAAGGCACATCACCCCTTCTCCGTCGGTTGATGTGGGATGTTACATACCTAGTATCAGCTTTTGAGTACACGATCTTAGAACTCATTCAATCGCAGCAGCGGCAACACAAGCAAAAAACATGAACGACTTAAGACTTCTACTATCTCTTAGAAACTGTTTCAGCTTTCTCTTTATGATGAGGTTAGGGTTAGAGAACGAGTCTGATGAGAGAAGGGTCTTAAGCTTATATAGGGCTAGATCAAGTCGTCTCTACTCATCACCAATGGCTTACTTGACTAAAATCTAAGCCCATCAAGCAATGGTTCACGCAAAAGGAAATAAATAGGACCCCTTTAATTGGCTTCAAGACTTTCTTTATTTCACAAGGTTTTGGGCCTTAAAGTATTGTGCTAGTTCACAACCTATCATGTATTTGGCCTTTGTATTCTTTGTTGTTTTTTAATACAAACAATAGTCTAACCTACAAGGGAAGTGAGTTTCTCACACACACTATCAATGTGTCACCGGGATTCGAACATGAGACCACTGGTATGCAAATCAAAGTCATTTTTCACTGGGCTAGACCCCAGTGCAATTTTCTTGGCAAAAACAAACGTATGAAATTTATTGAATAAGAGGATAAATAATTTTTTCTTTTCTTAGTTTGATACATTTTCTCGAAAAAGTAAATTGAGGAGATACTCTCAGAAGCCAATTACTATTTGTTACATGGCCTGAGAATCTAACCAAATGTTACATATGAATTGTTAATCACAAAGTAAACTTCTATTGCAGCTAGCGCAGGTAAGTATAGTTCCTCCATACATTTTGTATTTTTTTTGGTCTGTGTCCATACATTTTGTTTATTTGCTCCTACTTTCGGTGGTCTTTAATCTAACCTACCACCTCCTCCACATCGGTCCAAATCCCTAAAATAATGGAAAAACAAAAACTTAAGGCATTGTTGTACAATAATGAAGGTATTTTACCTATATTATTGAGTGCGAATAGACATTGCAAACTAACCAAGCAATCCCTAAATTGACTAATTGAGACAATGACTAACAGATAGAGATAGAGTAATGCTGCAATGCAAAGCAATTACACATTACACAATCTTATATTATAATTAATTTGAATTATATTGCACTAACTAATTTATTATATGAAACAAGAGATATAACGAGTAACCTATGATTGAATAGGAGATTTGTAAGTCAAGCGGTTAATAGCGACTCTCACATCTTGCAAAACGAGATTTTGTTCCTGAAGTTGCTTGCTGGTAAATATGAGTAAAAAATTTTTTTACCGCAAGTAAGACTGAGTCAAAGTCGGGAAAGAATCTAATTTATCTAGTTGCTCAATGTGAAGTGAAGCCAGCCACCAGAGAGAGAGAGAGAGAAGGAGCGCATTTCTAGAAAAAAAGTGTAGGTAGAGGAAGGGGAGAGTACGTGTGCATCGGGTGAGTGTAGTGTCTCGTGGGTTTTGGTCGACATGTCAAGCGGTACCAGTCTTCTCCTGTCTTTGTATTATCAACTTTCTCTCTCTGTCACTCACTGACAGTCTTTCATGGGCCCCACTCCTCTCTCTCTGCCCACTCAGCTCTCACGGACGGCACCACCCTCTCTCTCTCTCTCTCTCTCTCTCTCTATCTTTGTTAGAGCTCATATGGTCCTCATACAATTATAGCATAATCATTTTTCACCTCATCAATTGCTGGCTGTAAAGGCAACTCACTTTTCTTTCTCTATATCTAGCCTTTACCTTTTCAAATCAAGCCTTTGATTTCATCTTTTAAAAGTTTCCCACTTTAATTTTTTTAAGCTCATGTACGCACAAAGATTAGTTTTCACCACTTTCATAAGAAAAGGAAAAAAGAAGAAAATATTGATCTGTAGATATATATATTATTGAGTAAAAGGAGAGAATGGGGTCTAGCGGTCCAGCTGAGTCTATGGCTGACCGACTTTGGGAGAGCAGCCGTATTAGATAAAGGGAAGGAGAGAGAGAGAGAGAGAGAGAGAGAAGAAATATTCTCTTTTGCTTTCATTTTCTGTATGTTTGGCATTTTTCTTTCCAAGTTCAAGCAAAGTAAAAAGTTTTCCCAGAAAACAAAAAGAGCTTCATTTGGGTTCTTAATTTGTTCTCAGCGATCCAAAATTCCAATACATGCACTGAGATTTCTTGTATTGTCTTCTTAATTATAGTAGTAAATCCTTTTCTTTTTTTGTTTCTTAATTTGTTCTAGTAGTTTTAGCATCTTCTCTTGTTACTTCTTTTGTCTTAGCAAGTTTTAGAACGCAACCCGTTACTTCTAATTACTTCAGATTCAATATGATGTCCGAAGATGGTCTCTCAATTCCCTCCACCGTCAAAGGGTTAGCTCAAGAACTAAGTTCCAGCCCTAACCCTAACCCTAATACCGATAATCAACTCAAGAGGAAGAGGAATTTACCTGGAACTCCAGGAAAGTGTATTTTCATCTCCACCTTGCAACTTCACACACTTCACTTCTTTAGCTTTGTCTATTGATCAACTCAATCTTCATCTTGTATTCTTTTTTTGAACTTTTTGTTTGATATTGGTTACTTCAATAATTCAATTGCAGATCCAGATGCAGAAGTCATAGCTTTGTCCCCAAAATCTCTAATGGCCACAAACCGATTCGTTTGCGAAATTTGCAACAAGGGATTCCAGAGAGACCAGAACTTGCAGCTTCACCGACGCGGCCACAACCTTCCATGGAAGCTCAAACAAAGATCAAACAAAGAAGTGATTCGAAAAAAGGTGTACGTGTGCCCGGAAAGGACATGCGTGCATCACGAGCCTTCCCGAGCACTCGGAGACCTCACCGGAATCAAAAAGCACTTCAGCCGAAAGCACGGTGAGAAGAAATGGAAGTGTGAGAAATGCTCAAAGAAATACGCAGTTCAATCGGATTGGAAGGCTCATAGCAAGGTTTGTGGGACTAGAGAGTATAGATGTGACTGTGGCACACTTTTTTCCAGGTAACTGTTTTTCCAACATGTTCTCTTTAATTATAACAAAAATTCCCTACTTTATATGATTAATTTGGGAAAATAATTAATATATATATATATATATATATATATTTAATGCTCTCATCACGTAGAGGCTTTAATGGGGGTTCTATTTGAATTTAATGCTTTATGCACAATTCGGGTACCGATTGTTTACCAAATTTTGTTACACAGGAAGGACAGCTTCATTACTCATCGAGCTTTCTGTGATGCATTGGCGGCTGAAGAAAGTGCAAGGTTTGGCTCAGCTTCAACTAATAATATGAATCCAAGCTTCATCAATGGGTGCAATAATATTACCAACATTAACCCTCATCATCAACCACCAAGAATCCCTCATTTTATACCAATGTTTCAGCAAGAATTTTCTGGCTCAGACCCTGCTGCAGCCAACAATTCTCATCTCAATTCCAATGCTTTTATGCCGGAATTGGTGCCGACACCTTCAATGGACATGTTTGGATCGTCATCGTCATCGCAGACGCAGTGGCTCATCAACAACAATAAGTTCCCGGAAGAGGCATCGTTTAATCTCTCCATGTCATCTTCGTCGTTGGCTCGGGGACTTAAGGAGGAATTAGAAGAATCCAAAGGAAGTTTGTCTGAAACGATAAGTGCTTCTGCTACCTCTTTCTATAACAACAACAATCACCAACACCAACCCATGTCAGCCACAGCACTTTTGCAAAAAGCAGCTCAAATGGGATCTACAAGAAGCAACAACAACAACAATAATCCAGCAACAACATTCAACGACACTGCCTTTGGTTTCATGAGCACATCGTCCAATTCAAACCAGCTCAGTTCATATGGCCACCACCACAACAAAAATGAAGTTGAGAGCTTCAATGATTTGGTGAATTCCATGTCTTCTTCAACTCCAGCAACCACAATTCGAGACGGATCGTTGTTCTCTAGCTCCTTCTTGAGCAACAAACACTTGATGAATATGCCTGGAGCAGCCAATCTGATAAAACAAAGCCAAAGTGAGCAAAGTAGTCTAACTAGAGATTTTCTCGGAGTCGGAAGCGATGCGATTAGCGGAGTGCCCTTCTTTCAACAAGAGCTAGCCAAGTTAGCTTCAATGGGTGACTTGAGTCAATACACTAGTAGTGGTCATCAATGAGAGCCCTATACATTAATTACAAAGCTACTTAAAAGAGAGCCTTTGTTGGTCTCTATATACTAGAGTTTCATTAGATGAAATGTATACCAATGGAAACTAGATTAAGAGGATAACGAGTCTGAGTTTGCACTCAAAAAAGCGAGTCAACTCGGAGAGAGAGAGAGGGGCCAGTGCGTGTTCATGTTGGGAGAGAGAGAGACTAAACAAAAAGAGACTTCATTGGCTTAAAGAGAGGGCCCTCCATGCATGTAGTAGATTTTTTTTCTTTTGTGTTTTCATCTTTGGAATTTTAGTCTTTCTTGTCATTTCATTTGATAAAAGGCTAAAGTTTAAATTGTGTCATGTTTGGTAGTGTGACCTATGTCGCTGCCTTTTCCTACTGTCAACATTTTCCACCGTCAATTTTAAATAAAGGAATCTAACGTACGTGGGTGTGGGCCTAATTAGCCTATTCACGTTCAGCTAAATGATAGCAGAAAAGTTTAATGACAATGGAGTTGGCTCAGTTTATTATTAGATTTGAGGTAATTTGCATTCCCAAGTAATAATGTTAGGTTAAATATACAATTAACAAACGTTTGTCAATTGTTGGCCTTACCTAATATACCTTACTATGCGACATGCTTGTGATTTATAACTCTACTCCAGTCGAGTTTCAATTCTGCACTCGAGTTCGAATTAAAGTAGATTATCGCTTGTATAACCTCTATTCTAGTCTTTTATTCCTTGATTAAACAATGAAGCATTTAATTTTATGTAATATAATATTTTTTTTAAAACACATGCTATTAATATATTATCAATCATGCATGTACCATACATTATTCAAATATAATCTCATTTTAGTTACCAACTCGAAAAATTATCAAAACACCATGGGTGAGAAATGGTCATTAGAAGTCATTTTACAAATGAGTAAATTTGTCTTTAAAATTTTGAAAATAAAGTGAGTAGGAAAATAGAACAAGAGGATGGAAATAACAGCACTCCTAAAAAATTTGTAAGAAGGGATTAAGAGCAAAATTAGGAGAAAGTGGAAAGTGAGGAGTCTATAATTACCATACTGTATACTTTCGCTTTTGCTTTCAATTCTATATTACTACTTATTTTTAAATAATAAATGTATGTGGTACTTCACAAAGTCTTTCAATTCTGCATGATTATCACTAAGTATGTCAAGTCCATATATTTGAGACTCTATGTAACCCATAAGTCTACTTTTGACACCCAACATTTTGTTTTTTTGGACAATTTAAATTCCAACATGATTTATTTCGTTTTCATAATATCTTTGCTTCAATATGTAGTATTGTTATGTTGTTAGGTTGTGGATTAGAATTTGGGATCTCTTCTAAAACGAGGAAGGAAAGTATCACTAAACTGAGAGCTAGCTAGTTATCAATACAACATGATAATGAGGGAAATCATAACACCTTCTTATTTAGATTTTTTTTTCTTTGAAAAGTTCAACAGTAGCTATTTGTACATACCTATAATATTTGTTCTTCATCTAATTCATTGGCGCAAATAAAGGGGAAATTGATGATAATACTGAGGAAATTAAACTACATGCTTCAATGTCGACTTCATGTCAAATCGATGTGGTCTTAACGTCAACCTTGATGGCTTGCGGACTTCCCAAGTTATCCAATGATGTCAACGAGAGGGAAATCATTGATAGTTTCTCTTATTTCAGTTCTAGTTTCTTGATCAGAAAGAAGAGAATGTTACTAACATGATGATGAGGGAAATCATGATGTTATTTACCAAACAAGTATTCAATTTGTTAAAGCAAAAATTCAAGAAACAAATCATTAATAGAACGATATTGAACTATCAAAATGATGATGAAAGCGTATGACAAAAAGCCCGCCCTGCTTAGAGTATTTCTGGTCTCTGCCTAGTGTGTTTGCCTTGTTTTTTCTTGTATGCCATATTAGCAATAAATAAGAAAGGCATGAATTCCTTCTAATTTCTTTAATAAATTATTATCGCTTATAAGGAAGGGAGATAGGCTACTTGGTTAGTTCAACGATCAAACCCTTATGTGTAGAGTGACTTGCCTAATCCTTTTAGCCTCTAACTACTGCGGTTTTACTATGATTCTCTTTAATAAATTACTATTGCTTCATTTCAAAGAAAAAATAAGAAGGTTCTTTTGGAAGCAATAGTTCCTCAACTTATGCCTGATTTGCATTTTGGTCCTCAAAGTTAAAAGATGACTCTTGTGGTCGCTTAACTTCACTTTCTCTCGCACTGTTGATCATGACGTCATAATGTTATATTTTCCGTCAAATATAAGGGCAAAATGATCATTTTAGGTAGTTTTCAATTATTCGTCTTTTTATAAGAAATGGTCCCTGCATCGTAGAGGATTCAAGGCGGTTTTGAAAGGTAGCCCCTCGACGAGTACAGGGACTCCCCAAATTTTTTTTGTTGGGGATAGGTGCCGGGACGGAAATGGTATTACCATACCCGACCTCGAACCGGCCCGTTGCCATCCTTATGAGTGAAGTTCAGGACTACCAAAGCCAATATTAAGTTGGATGACTAAAATATAAATCATTTTTAAATTCAAGGACCATTGCTTTGAAAACGCTAGTTTAAAAAAAATTTAACATATTTTTTTCATACACAGTTTTTACCAATCATCACAATGCTTAGGGTCACACTTTTTAACACAATAAAATAGGATACTACTTGCCTCCTTACTTGTAAGGAGATACTTCTCCTTCCTGTGAATCATAGTTTGACACATATGCAAAAATAATTCATCAAAAACACAAAATGAAAACTTATGCACACATGTCACACTGCTATTGACAGGAATATAGAAGCTCCTACTTATAGGTACGTAGGGAAGTATTTTTCATAACATTATTCAAACTAAAGATCAAATTAGTAGTTTTAAATTGCGATTATCTGATGCGAACAATGCACCAACACGAAATAAGTTGGGTTACTTTTATTGGATTATACTCCTTAGATAACATCATATTTGAAGGGTTACTAAAGATTTTATTCAGTCCAACCTAAATTTTCTTTTGAATTAATACATGGTGTAAGATTAAGAATTGCTTTTTATTATTATTTTATAATCCTAAATTGAATACTAAACCATACAATTGTATGACCTACACATATGTTATAGTCAAAAGTGAAATTCAAATTTAATGAATAAGTGGATACCATTTGGTGTTATATTAAAAGCATATTTTCCAACAACAAAAAAGTGGATTCTATTTCTATTAGAGATATGCAATTTAAAAGGTTTAAAAATAGTTTTATTGATTGTTGGTAGGTCACACTTAGATTGTGCATCAATTGATTGAATAGACATTACATGTAGACTTAGCATTACTCTCAATCATCTAACGTATCACTTGGTTTACACTATGAAAGCATCTCCAACAGTAGTAGCATACAAAACTCTTTAAATTGAAGTTTAAATGTTGACCTACCTGCCAATTTGAAAGTTTTATTTGCTACTTGAACATTTTTTGCTCCAACAGACTCTTCAATTCAATTAATGCAATATCATGAAAACGAATAAAAAATATGAAAACATGTAAAAAAAATGTCTATATATTTATTACATGAAAAGAAAAAATGTATGTTTTTAACATTTTCAAGGTAGATTTTGTTTTCTAAAAGTGAAATTAAATGTTGGCTTATTGGATATGCTCCATGTGCTTTCAAAATAGTCTCATATTACCACCTATTCTTTGAAATGTCTCAATATACCATGTATACTTTCAATAAGTCAATAAGTATCTCACGTTAGCTATTCCGTCATATTTGAGAGAAAGTTCCGCTAGCGAATGTGGCCCCCCGCTAGCGAATGTGGCCCCCCACTTCTTTTCAATCTCATAACAAGGGAGAGGAAGGGTTAGTCAGGTTGAGAAAAGGGGGAATTTGGGAGAAGAAGGTTAGGTTGAGGGAATTTCAGATTTAGGAGAAAAGGGGGAATTTGATTTGGGGATTTCAGATTTGGATTCAAACCATCCTTCTTCTCCCAAATATGAAATTCCCAAATCAAACTCCCCATTTTCTCCCAAATCCCTCATTTTCTCCCAAATATGAACCTCTAGATTCCCAAATCTGAAATTCCCTCAACCAAACATTCTTCTCCCAAATTCCCTATTTTCTCAACCTGACTAACCCTTCCTCTCCCTTGTTAAGAGATTGAAAAGAAGTGGGGGTCACATCAGCTAATAGAACTTCTCTCAAATATGATGGAATAGCTAGCGTGAGACACTTATTGAAAGCATAGGTGGTATATTGAGACATTTCAAAGAACATATGGTAATTTGAGACTATTTTGAAAGCACAGAGGGCATATCCATAAATAAGTCTTAAATGTTTGAAGAGCCAAAATCAACTTACCAGTCATGAAAAGAGAGAAAGAGATTGCAGCTTTGATGACTAAAGTTGAAGAGGTTGTTTAAAGGAGTTTTTTTTATGTAGCTCACCTATTTTAGAATTCCAAAGCTATTGAAGAGGCTGTTGGAGATGCTCTTATGTACTTAGTTGTCAAAGTAATATTTGCCAAATCCCATAAAAGTCAATGCCAAGTATGCTTATAGAAATCATGACTTCGACAGATAAATCTTCTTTTTTTAGTTTTTTTTGTTGTTGTTGTTGTCGAGTTTGGGGTGAATGGGCTACTGTAATTTGCTTTTCTTCAAGCTGAAGCATTCATGACATGATCATTCTTATTCTGAAATAAATTCAAAATGGTACTTCGAAAGTGCAAAAGGAATGATCAAGACACACATGCACTTTTCTGTAGGAATTTATACAGATTTCTCAAAATACACAGTATCACAAAATGAATGTAATACAAATACAGGTTACAATGAACAAACAAATTAACAACCCCATGAAATTCATTAGTTACACAGTATTTGGTATCTTATATTTATGATCACAAACTGGCATATATAATTCCACCGTGTCCGCATAATGTCCATTGGCACAAAGTAATCAACCATTCTGTCACAAAAAGCTTATAGCTGCAGCAGCAACCACTGAAACTCCAATGGAGAGAATGGCATTAATCTTGGGGATCAGACAAGGAACAGCACCAGACTTCACTTCAGCAACATCAGGAGTAGTGTCATCAGAATCGGATGATGAAGACTCCTCCTTAGGCTTCTCTTGTGCAGGTGCCGGAGCCGGTGACGGTTGGTGATGCTTGGGAGCAAAAACACCATAAGGCTGGAGCACACTGTTAACTTTGTAAATAGCAATTTGATTATCAGAGTAGACAGTGCCTGAAATGGAGGTGTTCACAAGGCCAGTGGAAATATTGACTGAACTGCCTGTTGTGGTAATGTTTAGTGGATAGTCAAATCCAGTTCCAGCTTGGGTTCTCACTGGATTGCTGAGAGTTTGAAAGTTTTGGATTGTGAGAAAATCTGGGATCAGATGGAATTGTAAGAGCTGCACTTTTTGCTCATCGCCCAAAGAGTTGAGTGAGCCTGTGCTGAGCCTTGAGAAGGCACTGTCAGTTGGGGCTAAAACGGTGAGTTGGCTATTTGAGTTGTTGAGTTGGCTGTAGAGCTGTCTGTCAATTTGGGTGCTTTTTAAAAGGCGGATGAAGACATTGAAGCCACCTGCTTTTTCAAGGATTTTGGTGATGTTGGTTGGGCCTGGAGGTGCAGGGGCATCAGCTGGTGGTGCTGGAACTGCTGGCCCTGTAATTGATGGGGAAGCTGGGGCAATTGGGGCATCTGGGGCAATTGGAGCAGCTGGGGCAACTGGGGCAGCAGGAGCAGCAGGAGCAGCAGGAGCAGCAGCAGGGGCTGCAGCAGGAGCTTGGGCTAAGATTTTGGTGCAATGGGAGAGGAAAATAAGTAGAAGTGTGAGTGAGAAAAGAGGCTGATGCTGAAGCTTTACCATCTTGTTTTTGAGTGTGGTCGGGTTTTGGCTGCTTAATTTGCTTGAAAACAAATAATGCCAAAGCAAGAGTGGTGCTTGCATGCACAAGGTGTTTGATATTTTGTGCAAGTGTTTGATATGAGTTTTGGGGGGGGTGGAGAGGGTTTTTATAAGTGGTGGGAGAGGAGGGATTTAGGTGAGGAGGTTGATAATTATTTGATCAGTTATACAACCTTCGCAGTTAGCATGTCTGTCTTTGTTGGGAAGGTGAGAGAGAGGAAATGTAGAGTGAGATTGTGGTGTTAGACCTACTAGTTTGCTTTCATCTAATTATTTGGTGTTTATCATTTGCCAAGTGAGAGGGAATGAATGTAGTGAGATTGTGGTGTCAGAGCTACTAGCTAGCTTGCTTTATGTAATCATTTGGAGTTAAGATTTACTTCCAAATTGTTGGCGGTTAAGCTCTGAAATACAGGGGTGCGCATAAATATCAGAGAAAATAATTAATGATTAAATCGAACTCATTGAGTCGGTTTAGTTCGATTTTTAATTAAAAACATTTATTTTGAATCAAATTGTCTGAACCGTCAGCTCCAATTGTAATATTTTAGGTTCGATTTCTCTTCCTCCATACTCTTCCTCATTTCATATCTTCTAATTTCCTTATCTATCTTCAAGCATCATCGCTTTTCTCAAGTCGACTAAGCACTAATGCGTCATCGACGGTCGTCACCTCTGCTCTACTTGATTCAAACAACTCACTGCCTCATCTTCTATGTCGTCGCACCAAACTGAGTCTATCAAATTCAGCCATATTTGGTACAATTACACCAACTTTTTACTACAACACCTAAATTGACGGGTGGGCGACAATTCGATTGACGGTTAAAGATGTGGCACACGAACCAAGCTAGCTCGTGCCCACTCTACTAAAACGACATTTATACTAGATCCCAAGACCCCTTATAGGCCTATAACAATTTTAAAAATGCTTAAGTAACAATTTCTTTAGAAATAAAAATGAAAAAATGGCTTAAATTACCTCTA